TATCTCCAAATTAAAAAATTAAGTAAATAAAACAAAACAAAATTAAACAAAAACATTTTATTATTTTATCTTAAATAACTAATCTGTCTAATTTAGTCATAAAACAATTTCAGATTACTGGAATGTAAAAGTGGTGAAGCCAAATAAATGTTATAGGCCTGCCATAAAGTGAGCTTCTGCCTGCTGCTGCTGCGCTGAGTGTGCTCATAGCAGAGACYGACCGTAACAAGATGGATTTATGACTGATCGAATGTACCCATCTTTTTTATCATCTCTGTGGGTAACAATACATTAAAAATATGTTTTTTCTCCGACAACTTGGGTGTGAAAAGCTCTGCGCGACGTGCAGCGGGAGGGAGGAGGAAATGATCCCGCGACACGACAGCACGACTTTTCTACAGAGGAGAGGGAAATTTTCTGAGGATTTAATCTCTCTATACATGTTTTAAAAGCTATATTTCTTCATTTGTTTTCAGAATATTTCGAATAAATGGCCCTATAAAAAACTAAAAAATGGTTTACCTGCCCGAATATGGGTTTTGCCCTGGGCAGTCGGGCAATAGGATTTGTCGAACCCTGCTCGCGGGAACCTAGTCACACGCGGGGTCTGTGTTGGTGGTTCTTGCTATAATCTATAAAATTAATTATTGATAAGGTAACCATGCTGTGGCTTCACCTGTCGCGTTTTCTTTTAAAGAAAGAAAAAGTAGCTTGCAAAGTTGTCGCATCGGTGCTACGTGATTAAAAAAAGCAGAGTTTTCATCGTGCGTCTGGCTGAGTTATAGTCGCGCTTTGGCCCGCACGCGTGCATGTCTTCCTATCTTTGTGAGGACCACACACAGCGCTCAGCCTCGCTCTGCGCCGTCTTTTCCCCCCGATGTTTGGAGAGAGGTGGATACAGAGGAGTGCAAAAAATAGCTCTCAACTTGATTTGGCCTTATTTTAATAAAAATGACTACATGCCATGAAATTCTTAGAGGGGCGGGCCGTCTCGTTGGTGGGGGTTTGGGGGGGCACACTTGTATAATGGTAGGGGAAACACTGATGTTAATATTAAACATATTGCACACTGGTTGTTACACATCGGTTGTTTGTGTATGTATTGTTGCCTGTGTACATTTGCACTGTGGTGTTAAGTTGCGTTCAGTGCCCTGATGGCTGTGGGGTAAAAGCTGTCTTTGAACCTGTTTGTCTTTATTTTAATGCTCCTGTACCTCCTGCCTGATGGCAGTGGTTGAAACGWGGTGTGACCTGGGTGTGTGGGGTCATTCAGGATGTTCGTACCTTACCTGAGACAGCGAGAGCTGTACAGTTCCTCAAGAGAAGTTAGTGGGCATACAATGATCTTCTGGGCTGTGATGGTGATCCTCTGAAGTGAAAACCAACAATACAAGTCATTGAAGCTTTCTATTAAGTGTTACAAGCAAAGAGGACTTAATATGATCCAACTCTGCATCTGCTACATTCATAGTACAAACTGGAGCATTGAGGTGTTCAACATTGTGTTTTTTTTTTTCACACAAATGACCACTTAATTAAAAACGAGAACTTCAAATGTGTTTTGCAGCTTACAGAGTCTATGCAGACTTGTACAAATGAGAAAACTATTTCTGGTTTTATTGGTATTTTTCCAGGTATTTACATCATGAGCAAACCAGCTACAGTCTTGCTGTACCTGGTTGATGTTGCATGTTTTTTGTGCATCTATTATTTTGATCATCTATGTGGTATATTAAAATATTACATTCCCTAAAAAGCAATTGTTGTCACAGAAAGCTTCACTACTTTGGGTCAGGCATTTAGCTMGAGGGCCGTCAGGGCATCATTACAACACACTCTTTCAGCTGGTGATGCCTCAGGATGCCCTCACGGCACCGTGTCAGTTTTTGGGTCCATCCAGAGTTGTTTTTTTACACTATATACATTTTGCAAGCTTCTGTAAACTTTGTAAGCAGCGTCTGGTTGACTGCAATGATTTAATGAGGCCAAAGGAGGACACATAAAGAATAATTTGCGAGAGGTTGGTGGTCTGCAGAAAGACCAAAAAGACAATTGTTGGTTTTCATATTCTCATTTTAGTTATCAGTTTTTATTCATACCAATGATAATTATTATACTTCACTTTTAAAGTGAGACATACCATAGTATAAACCAAAAATACAGTGAGCAAACTCTGTAAACTGTAAGCAAACTGTATTTTACTAAATACATCATGCAGCTGGTATAAGTGATGCCATATGGTGGTGGTATTAGGTTTCTTCTTTTCCTAATAACAGTATGGAAGAATAGTAGAAATTGCAACAAGTCACCCTGTCTGTGTTTGTCCACACAAAATCTACCAAAAGTACAATTAACCTTTTCTCCATCTACTTCCTTTACAGGGATGATTTCTCTGAGGACAGCTCAGGTGAGGAGTGGAACTGTACGCCTGCAAAGAGGAGACTTTCCATGAGGCGATACCGCACTGCATATGCTACTCCGGCATTATCCCCCCTGAAATCGACATCTGAGCAGTGGAGGCAGAGTCCCAGAAGAAACACAATCCGCTCAACACCCCGAAAAAATAACTCATCCCCCATTTCTGGCAGGAAATTCTCCACTCTGCCCAAGAAAAATCAAAGTGTAAAGCGGCAAAGGGAGAAACAGAATTTAGGGCCAGATAAAGATGAAGAAGAGGATGATGACCGTTGGCGAAATATTGACGAGGAAGACACAGAACTTCCTCAACTTCGATTCAGACCAAAGAGGGATGTAGGGCCTCAGCTGAACAGAACAGCAAACTACACACCACTTGAGCTGTTTCAGTTATTCTTTTCCACTACTGTAATAGATACTCTGGTGAAAAACACTAATTCTTATGGGAAGAAGAAATGCCAAGGCAAGAAGGAAAGCTGGGTCCCTGTCATGGCGGCAGATATGTATTCCTTCATCTGCCTCGTCCTCTACATGGGGATTGTACCGCTCAAAACTCTAAAAGAGTTCTGGAGAGGATCTAAGCTCTTCAGCCTGCCATTTCCTGCCTCTGTTATGCCTTGCAGGCGATTTTTAGCCATTTCCCGCAGTCTGCACATGAATGACCCTGCTGTTGAAGCTGCCAATGACCGAAAGAAAGGGACAATGGAGTTTGACAGACTCTGCAAGATAAAGCCACTGTATGAGCAAATTTTGGAGGCTTGCCAAACCTTCTTTCATCCTTACCAGCACATCTCTATAGATGAACGAATGGTGGCCAGTAAAGCTAGGTTTGGATTCAAGCAGTACAGCAGAAATAAGGCAACTAAATGGGGCTTTAAGCTTTTTGTTTTGGCAGACTCAGTCTGTGGCTACACACTGAATTTTTTTGTGTACGGGGGGAAAGATGGACAGCCCACAGGGAATGGGATAAGCTATGATGCTGTCATGAGACTGCTGAAGATTCCATTTCTAGGCAAAGGGTATAAGCTCTATGTTGATAACTTTTACACCAGTCCAACTCTCTTTCTTGACCTGCTTAAAAGAAAAATTTGGGCATGTGGCACTATTCGGTCCAACGTAACAGGTTATCCCAGGGTGAAAAATAATAACATGCCAGAAAAAACACCAAGGGGGACTATTCGTTGGCTCAGAAAAGGAAAGTTGCTATTTGTTAAGTGGTATGACGATGTGTTCTACCATGCACAGAGCTTATAGTAATGACATGGCAAAACGCAAAGTGAAAGGTGCGAATGGACAGTGGACGATTAAGCATGTGCCCATTCCAAGCTGTATCAAAGATTATAACAAGCATATGGGGGGTGTTGACTTGTCAGATGCACTCATTGGCTACTACAATGTCCTTCACAAAACACACAGATGGTACAAAACTCTGTTTTATCACTTTATTGATATAGCCACCGTAAATGCCTTCATCCTCCACAAAGAAATGTGCAAACTGCAAAATAAGCCTGTAGTTACACAGAAAATCTTCAGGGARCAACTCATTTTGTCCCTGGCTCAGATTGGTTCTACTCCACGCAGGTCAGGGCCACAAAACTTCATGGTGTCCGTCTTTCCTTTTGGAGTACCTGCTTCTGTGTTCACAATCCCATCTGCCTCTAATGTGCTCSCCGCCTCAGCTTCTTCCGACCCCGAGGCGTCGTCAGGCTCTAAAGAGCTGTCCGACCCCGTTTCCGATGGTGCGGCACCTGATGTAGCCTCTGATGTCCCAGGTTTAGGGCACCTGCCGTCTTACTTTGTTGAACAAATGAGCAATGTGGCCTCCAGGGACAGGGCTACTGCTGGAAGAAGGGCATGTGTGGTCTGCAAAAGAAAATCGCCAGTCTATTGCAGCACTTGTCACAAAACTCTTTGCCTGACATCTTTCAGAAACTGCTACAGTAAGTGGCACAGAAGCAATAACATCTGTGTTTAGGTAAACACATGTAGTCTGCACAAATAGCTTAATAAACAAAGTGAACTGCCCCTTCAGGATTCATTTATCTTGGTTACAACTTTTGGTCGCTTCCTACACAGCGACATTGTTAACTTGAATTCTTTTTTTTAATGTACAAAAAAATGCTTGAAAACGCTAAAAATTTACTGTAAAATTGTGGGATAATTAAAAAAAATTGGCGTTGGCAATAACAGTAAAAACTTTTGTTGAATGAAGAATGTCTACCTAAACAAAGAAATGTAGTCATTATCTATAACATCTGAATTTTGTTTAAAATGTTTTATGCTGTGTGTATATTACCAAGTTTAATATCTCTGTCTTTGACGCTTAAGCATGTCACACCAGAAACTAGTAAGCAATACAAGACTTAATCCAGAAACAGACGTGCTGTTGTGCTGGACAGATTCACTTCAGGGAAAACCGGGCATCAGGTCTCTTTAAGAGTCTCAGGAAGTTGCAGTTGGTGCTTGTCCAATCACTGGATGATGTGCAGTGTCTGTTTCTCAGTCTGCTTTTGTAGACATGCCTTAAAAATAAAATGGACCATAGATGCTGTAATTACACACAAACTCAGTGCTCTTAGAAGAACATAAAATAAACTTTGCTACATTTGTTTTACTGAAATGCAAAAATATTTTTGATTTAAAAAAGTTTGAAAATAGATCTTGTACTGAATGTTACGTCATCACCACCTTACTGTGATCTCTACCTCATGTCAAACACTAGGACCCAAACTAACTTAATGATTGTTCACAGATGTGATGATGCTTCAATTGGGAAGGGAATATGTCAAGATCAAGGGCATATTAACTAAGAACCAAAGGATATTACACTGTAACCTGTAGAAATGGGTTCTGCACTTGGATGTAACGACTAAAACCAATGGTCAGTACTACACATCTGTGCGTTAATGCATACTTTGTTCACTTTTATGTAACTTTTTTTAAGAACACTGACATTAAACATTATGTTACTATCATCTATTTGAGACAAAAAAATAATGCAGATGTGTATTTTTTCAGCATTGAACTAATATTTTGCAGTTGACTTAATCACTGTGGTTTAGGATTGACCTGTTATTTTCTATATAAACCTGTTTTTTTTTTGTAAACTTGACTTCTATTGTTAATCTGACACAAGCTGAGAGATGTGACGCCTACATAAAGAGTTTTTCAAGGTACTTGAGCACTTCCAACATTTTATCAGTGTTTTGCCCAGCAATTGCTTCAATGTTTACTTGAAATGTGTTTAAATGGTTTTTAAGCACAATTTTTTTT